ATGCAATACAACACAGAGAGTCGGCCAACACAACAGTCAACACCCCACCTGGTTGATTACGTTCCTAGAAAGATTGCTAAATTTGAGAGAGAGACAAAACATAGACACGCAGACAGACACACAAGCAGAGAGAGAGACTCACACAGAGGCAAACAGAGAGAGACACACACATAGGCACACAGAAAGACAACGTCTCTGTGTCGAGGCCTTAAATAAAGAGAGAGAGGGGGGGGTGGGTGAGGCAGAGGGGGGAGTTGTGTGGAATTCCTGCCCAAAGCAGACGGACGAGCTGGACACTGGACTTCTATACAAACCAGCACGGAGCGGTGTGTGGAATTCCTGCCCATAGCGGCCGGAGGAGAGAATGGACCCATTAACAAGCACGGTAAAAATAAAATTTAGTCAAATTAGCAAGTGTAATGCAATGCAACACAGAGAGTCGGTTAGCACACTTAACGCATCGCCTGGTTGATTACGTTCTTCCAAAGATTGCATTATATTTCCAAGTGTACTATGTTTGTTTTCTCATTCATTTGTACCTGATGATGGTTGCTTGTGTTGCAATAGAAACATCGTATTCTATTATTATTTAATTTAATTTCTTTCCACGCGACTTTACCGAAAGAACCAAATAATTATTCGCTTTGTTCGTAACATTTCCCACAGCGACGCTTAATGAGCAAGGCGTTTTCTTGCCAACAGGGGGCGCAATGCTCTTTATTTTTTATTTGGAAAATGTTTATCCGGTCCGTCACGTTCTGAAATAGGCCTCATATATGAATCTGCTCGTTTAGGGCACAACCTATTTATCGTATCGTCCGGATTATAAGACGCACTCGGCGCCCTGTATTTAACAGTCCACCCATGTATTTCCCCCGAGTGTTTCATATCCTTGCTCTAAATTTAAGAGAGAGCTTAACTCTAGCCCATTACACGTTCAACAATGCTGATTGTTGCTGGTCATGTTGGCGTTTTCGGACTCGCGCTTATAGCAACCGCCATTAAAACACACGCACGTTTCATGAAACAAGTTTTCCCTGTAGTGAGAATATGGTAATGCGCTTATTGTGTATCTTGCATTTATATTGATGTTGTTTTAACCTTTAGCCACGGTATGGTTTTACACCTCTGGATTACAGGGTGCACTTTTTACCGAGTGTTTTTAAAGCTAAAAAGTTGGGAGTGAGTCGTATAATCCGGTTGTTGCTGTGTGTAACACGGAGCGTATTTTATTCAGGAGCATACACATGAGGGACGTGCGGTCAGGGGAGCCAGGGGAGGCAAAACCTCACCTGTCATACTCCAATGAAGATAGCTTTTACGAAAAGTAAAAAAAAAAGAATAATAAAATAAAATAAATATGAATATTTTGCCACCGGTCTGTGTTATAAATGTAATTTCTGTACGATTCCAATCATTTTCATAGTCAAAATCGCCAAATTTGCGGAGCTCCGCTACAAATACAGGAAGAGACGTGAGGTGAGGCAGCGACGAGCTCAGCCTCCCCTCTGATTGCGCAACCCCTCAGTAACTGGATGGAGCGCGGGCAATAAGCGCGTGCCTGTTTCTATCTCAGTATGTCACCAATGTAATGTTTGTAGACACCCTTCATTTCATGTCCTCGCCTTCCATACTCCAGGTAACTTATTTCACGTATGTGTATAAATATATTTAGGCTCGCTGGTCTCGTCATGAAACTGCAATGAAAAAGTACCAGGAGAGGCAGCTATCACATCTGCCTCACTCAGTGAGGCCACGCTCTCTTCTGTGAGGCCACGCCCCCCTCAGTGTGTGAATCTGGCTCTGACACCAGCAGCATTTGTTTTAACGCAACAGATTCAGACAGTCGAAACTGTCCTAGTGTTATCTGCTTGAGCAAACGCTGCTGTGAAATGCTCCTCTAGACACTCGAGGTTATGCATCTGTCATCATCATCATCAGCTTTGGTCAATCCGTTGCTGGTGTAATACCTAATTAGCTGTTATTAAACCATTTCAATCGATCAATACTGTCTAACGATGTCATTCAAACTATGAAAATTAAGAAATAGCCATTCCTACTGCCTTATCATTCAAGAGGTCGGCGTTAATTAAGGGCTGTCTATAAACACGATAACGCACACATAAATTACAAATAACCCATGATAGCTAAATTTGATACAATTTACAATCCACGTTTCGTAGTATTGATTATTCAACATTCTCATAGATGGTCACACAATGCATCTGCAATTCACTTTTGTTTTCCTAACCACGTAATCAGCTTTAACAAAAGGCTACTTTCTTGAAAATGACATTCTGTGCATTTTTCTTAGTTTTTTCGGTAAAGTCACGTTGAAGGGAAACAACAAAATAATAAAATATATATAAAACAATTAAAAAATTCTCACGACGTTTCGACCATAACTCAAACGGTCGTCTTCAGGTGTGTTGGTTTGCATAAATTTATTTGTAAACGGTGCATTTATTTATTTATAAAAAACCGTTAGTGCCACGCGCAACGATTTGGCAGTTTATTTAGGACTAGTCCATCTATATTCTGAAAAGAGGAGGGGGGAGACGGGGGGGAGACGAAAATTTCGTCTCCCCCGTCCTATTTTCAGAATATAGATGGACTAGTCCTAAATAAACTGCCAAATCGTTGCGTGTGGCGCTAACGTTTTTTTAAATAAATAAATAAATGCACCGTTTAAAAATAAATGTATGCAAACCAACACACCTGAAGACGACCGTTTGAGTTATGGTCGAAACGTCGTGAGAATTGTTTTATTGTTTTATATATATTTTATTATTTTGTTGTTTCCCTTCAACGTGACTTTACCGAAAAAACTAAGAATATGAATTACTGCAGTCACGAAAGCTTTAAATCAAAATGCTGTGCATTATCACGTTTTTAAGGAACGCTGTCAATATTTGAGTCACCCCGAACGGAATGTAGTGGGCATGTCAAACAGTTGACATGCATCAGATGTATTAATACTTCCTCATCTTATAAGAATAAACATGTATAAAATGCTAGCTGGGTAAAATTCCACGGTGTCTTTTCTCGAGTCGCATTTAATGTCTCGACCCGTGTGCGTGTAGGATATTTTTACTCATGGGACACCAGGCACTTGGGGGAAATATTGAACTTTGAGGGGGCATCTGTAGCCAAGGGGCACATGAGGTACGAAACACACACAGGGCCAGCGCTAGGCGGGTGCCAGGGTGGGATCGTTGCCACCACAATGTCCCTTTGTCCAACCCAAGGTCATTCTCTTTGTGGGTTTATAGCACTGCTATGGTGGCCCCCACACAACAGCTGTACTGCCCCCCCCCCCCAATCCGAAATAACCTGGATACCAGCCTAAACATATACATTCTTCCCAGTCTCAAAAGTTGTTGGCGCAATGGACTCCTATCCCCATATGATCCATAACCCTGTGAAATATCGTCATCATTTGCTTCATTTGGCACTTAAATGCCTGACATCTAATCTCGTTTCAACCGTTCGAAGGAGACCCCCAGTGGTAGTTATTCCTGTACGGCACGAGGCAACTCAGCATGGGCTGTGCACACGCTCAGTGCCGTTGTGTAAACGTTGCGTGGAACAAAAAAATTATGTATTCATCAATGGTTAGAACAAATGTTTATTTGTATAGAAAGCTATATATATTTGTTTTATTATGATATGTCATTCCACAGCGAGAGCACTTGTTTCAGAGCTCACAGTCAAATTACAGCTTAAATACGTATACTGCAAAGCAAGCACCCTCTCAACAAAAGAGTAACCTTCCTGTATCGTCAGCATCGTAAAGTTACAAATCTCAAAATTCTGAAAATTCCACCTTGAGACATCTCCTCGTCCCGAGTCAATTTCTGGTCAATCGAAGGGCATTTGGTGATTATAAAAAGCAGTGAGAAGGCAGCGGTGCATATGCTGTTAATGGCCTAACCGCTCGTATGTAACTGCGTTTGTCGTGTACAGCTGCAAAGAAATAGCAGAGAAAACTAGAGCTAGATTTCCCCTTGTTACTCGCGTGGCATTTAAATTGTCCGCAGAATTTGGCAGACACTACGGATTACGTACTCGGCAGTTTTTTTGCACGCTTTAAAAAAAAAAGTCAAGAAAATAACATGGAATGCTTTTGGTTGTTTAGATAGATCTCAAAATTAAGGTTCGGCTTAGAGAAAGTTCATCAAAATTGCTTGAAAATGTAATACGGAATGTCTAATAATTCAGGCAGTAGCCGCTCGAGCATTACCTGAAAATTCGACACGTCTCCAACAATCGTTTGCCGAGTTTGTGACTCAACTCTAATTGATACATTTTTAGAGTGTACGTAATATTTGGCTACGATATTAGAAGCTCAAGCAACATATTGGTTATGAATTACTAAATGCAAAAGTTGCGACCAAAAGTCCTGTATCAGATTGGCAGTTAGAATACAAAAGGCAAAGCCGCATATGAGATGAAAGTTTAGATTTTTCAGGGCTGCCCGTGTCAAGTGAAACGTATTGGGTTACGTAATATCGACGCAGCTGGCCTGCTTTGGTGCGTGAATTTGGCAAGAGTCATTTGGCAAGCAGGAATCGGATTGCTGTGTCTCTTCGGAGCAATATTCTTTGTGATAGGGAAGGGAGAACCATGAGGGTGATGAGGTCGAAAATCAGCCTGGACTTTGTTTATTTAAACAAATGCTGCTGGATAATATTTGTCTGGAAGGCCAATAGAGTGATAGACTAAACCAATTTTTTTTAAATGTAGAAACACAAAACGGAATTCTGCTCATATATGCGTTACCCATAAATGCTCCGGCAACAACACAAAATTGTGATCGTAAAAAAACATGTTTCTTTTTTTGCGTTGAACAATGTAACTATTCATAATAAACGTTTTTGGGTTAGATCGCGTTATTTATAAATGTGTCGTAACCCTCCACCACCCGACACGGCCAATAAGTAAAAAAGTGTCACGTTGACAAAAGACAAATAGTTCACTACTTTAGCCCACCGGTGTGTTGAAGAGTGAATCCACAACATTTACCATTTTTGAGTACGACGTTTCGCTTGTAATTACATCCAGCATCATCGGGCCAATAACAGGGAATTGTATGATAATCATTTGAAATGCAAAGCTTATCAATTCACCCAAGTGAATTAATTGGAACCATTAAGGTTCTGTCTCATTATTCGTACCAATTTCTGCTCTGGCCCATGGGCTATATTCGTTGGGAAAGCCAATAAATAGGCCAACGGACTAAAAAAATAATATGTGGAGACGCATGATGGAGTTCTGCTCTTACTCGAAAACGCTTTTACCAACAAAGCACCACAACAACGCACCATGAGTTTGTATACTCGAGACGGTGACGTGCAGTTACGCCTCCACCAGGCGGCAACGGTGCACAACGAGGACAGATGAGATTGCCACGTGGTGTTGGTGGTGTGAGACTGGGACGGGTGGAATTGTACAGCAGAGTTCAGGCCACGCCAGTCTCTGAGTAGGTTGGTTGCCTGCTCGATTGATAATAGGTGGACATACGTGGCAGAAGGAGAGTGGAGTGTGGGCAGTGCATTATTTGCTGGCTATATAGAGCAGAAAAGGTCATCTTACCTGGGCTCAAGTAAGATGCACTGGTGCCAGTGTTTGAAGGTCAATGTGCAGTCCTACAATTGTTTGCTCATGTCACGGCTGGTGGAAAGATTTCCACGAGAGGGAGCTATGGAGATGTACTCAGGGAGCTGATATATATTTTAAGACTATTGCATTATTAAATGTATAAATTCAAGATAATCTCTCAATACGAATTATTTAAATGAGTTTGTAACTCCTGCATGGGCATTTGTGTGTTGCATCTAGCGAGGTATGGGCATTCTGCGCAGTCCAGTCACGAGGTGGCGTGGTGCGAGATGTTTGGCATCGGAATTATCTGGCTTTTGTACAGACCGACAAACTGCACTTTCAGTGGCCTTAATTAGCCAAACCCGAGTGGTCTGTGTGGCTTACATGAATTGGACCATAAAAATAAAACCCACAATGTTTCTATTTTCCTTCCACGTAAAGAACTCACTCCAAACCAACGTGTACATTTCCAGTTTTAGTTTCCAAAATTGCAGACAGGGTCGTTAGCTCATAAACAAGTAAAAAAAGCTGTAAGTTCGCTAAAGATCTATGCTTTGCACTCCGATAGTTTGGTGTATTGTTTGTTGTTGTAAATTTCTGACCGGCCCCTACTGGACATCTGTGAAGAAGAGCTTCATAGCTCATCGGATTTCTCCAAGATAAGTAAAGATTCTGATTCTATGGAAAACAGTATTTTAGGAGTTGGTCGAAGAGGAGAGGTTAAGGAATGAATAAATAACAGAACAGGGGTGGGGGGGGGTCACCGATTATGTTGCTAAAACGAAATAAATCACGTGGAAATGGGCAACACCTATACGTGAGAGCAGCTGACAAGAGATGAGAGACGAAATTTATTCCAGAGTGGAGGCCAAGCGATGGAAGGAGAAGTAGTGTGAGACAGCGTTGAGTGAGATAACAATCACAGAGTTCTGAGGCCACGACTGGAGAGGAGCAACTGGAGGAAGGAAGGAAGGAACGGATGAAGATGGGGGGAGGCCTTTGTCAAGCAGTAGGAAAGTTGTTCCAGGCTGATAACAACAACAACATCATCAACACTTAAAATAAACCACAGATATTCCCATGCTCTCAGCCAAACTGGGCCATCTAGTACGGTTACCCGATCCTCCCTGCCACTGCCCCTCAGTTGCGGTTGCTCAGCAGCACCGTCTGGTGGACGTCGCAGATGTCGAACCACTGGTCGGACACGCGCCGGCGCGCCAACAGCCCGTTGTACGGCAGCGCCGGGTTGGCCTGGCGGTCGCGGTCGTCCACCACCTTCCAGAAGTAGTCCCCCTTGAAGAAGAAGATGGCCATGTGCGAGTACGAGTAGTACACCGCGTCCAGGTTGCCCCCGGGGTGGTCGCCCGCGACCACGGCCGGGAAGACGTCCGTCACTCGCTTGGGGTAGCCGCTCACCTTCTGCTGGGTGTTCACGCTGAACGCCGTGACCTGGGGCACGCGAGGGGGCAAATGCGGCGCCAGCGTCTCGTCGGAGGGGATCGTCGCGGTGCCGTTCGCATCGCTGGAGTGCGGGTAGTAGGCCTCGGCAAGGTAAGGTAAATGGTATAAACAACGAGCCTACCTTTACCCTACCTTTTACCTTACCACAATACAATTACTCTACCCTTAACTTTTACCCTTTAGCAATGTAAGGTAAAAGGTCAAATGCAACGAGCCTACCTTTACCCCATACAAATTACCCGATTATAGGGTAATTACTGGGGTACTACACATGAAAAAGGTTTATAACAGGTAAATGCTAGGTAGAGCGCTTTATTCATCTATATATATAAACGGGAAATTTGTGAATGTGTCTGTTCGAAATGTTTAGCATACTTTCCGACATGCAACAAACTTGAAATTTGGCACGTGGGTAGCTTCTAGACTGTACACAATGCGAAACGTATAAAAATAGCCTTTTGCATTATGGGGGCGGGGGTGGGGAGGCAATAATGGATATATTTTGCACGGCAAGTGAGCGGTGACGTCACATCTGTGATGTCACCCGCATGCGGCAGCGTCACGCAGTGTGCCTGCTGACGTCACGCATCCCCCCCCACCCTCCGCGTAGGCCGTGTATTAATCCAAGACAAGAATTCAAGTCCCGTCCGAAGCCGGGTAGTAAAGCTCGTATCGAATACTCTCGATGATTCCAATTTTAAATGGAGGCCACGGACTGTACCACGGAGCTTTTAGCGAGCGGTAAACAAGGTATTTGCTGGGTAATACTTCGCGCTACCTTTACCCTACCCTTTACCTTACCCCTTGGCATGTCGACACCTTTACCTCTACCCTTTTACCCGGTAAAAAGGGTCAATTACCTTACCTTGCCGAGGCCTAGCGGGTAGAAAAATCGTTTCTAGATGGGGGTTGGGGAGAGGTATCGTACGATCGTTTCTATTTTACACCTCTGTATTAATTGTTGAACGCCGTGAGTTGCCGCAGGCGAAAAACGGCTGTGTCAAGCAGTGGTGTCTCTCAAAAGGGACAATGCAAGTTTAACTTCTTTCGTACAGTATGTGGTCAACCATACTCATCGTAGGTATGGATTCTTCCCATTCTTAAGTTCCCAGGCCTGAAGTTCCCCAGATCAACGGCTCCAGCTCACTCCATCCTATTCGATGCCCCTTTGTATTTCGCAACGCCACGGGCTCCGTACTCGGGTTCCTTGAGCCATGACTCGGGAAGGACAGTTGCGATGATTTCCTCTTGCCTTCGTCAACAGTTTTTATAAAGTGATACTGTGGGACCTTTTTGGCAGTATCAATATGTGAAAGATAAGAATACGGTTCACCCTTTCTGGAAATAAAACAGGTGTTAAGATATTTTATTGCCAGAAAATGGTCAAACGTATTCTTATTTTTCATACTTTGATACTGGCAAACAGGTCCCATAATATAGCTGCTCACCCCGAGCTATGCATGCTCTGATACGTGCGGCATTGTCTTTGTACTGTTCGCCTTTTGGCGTTCTCTGGTCTGACAGTTTCAAAGACAATGCCATAGATATTATCAGAGCATGTTTGTTTGCATGGTCACCACAAGTACTGTGTATGGTTAATGCAGCCTTGATTACTCGCAAAAGGTTTTTTTTTTTTAATTTGGTGTTTGAACATCTTAACACCTCTTTTATTACCAGAAAGGCGTGAAACCTCTTCTCACACTTCATAAAGTGACACCATGCCGCTGTAATATTTCTGCGATATGCGATTGTACGTATGCCCCCATCGTCACTCGTCCCTTGAGTCGCCACTCGCACGAAGAAGCGTCTGCCGTGATTTGCCTTGCTGTGCTGCCCCCCCCCCCCCTACAGGCCTTCTGGATCTCCGGTGGGCGTTTAAGCCTCTTAAGTGTAGCGAATCGCCACCGGCGGTGGCCGTTCGGTGAACTGCCAACAATTTGACGGCGTCAAACACGCGCCCCCTACGTGAACCACGACGACTGGCAAAATGTAATAATCGCCCGTTCAGTTGAATAGGCGAGGAGGGATTTCGCAAAGAAGAGGCCAGCCGTGGCACATCCGGCTGGCACCAAGCCCCACGTGTTGTGATAGGAATACATCCAAATGAACAGGGGCACTCACATTATTCGCCTTAAAGAAGTAGATGTTCTGATCTCTGCCGTCGAAGAAAGCCGTGTCGATAGGGTGCGGGACGTTTGGGAATTTCTCTGAAATTGGTCTCGGGTAAGGCAGACCCCGCGGATCTTCTGTGTACACACAGTCGTTCTGATTGTCGTACCTCCAGTACTGCGTTCCTGAACGGATGAAAACACACGTTGATTAGACTTCGTGAATTTGCGCTTTAAAGGCGAAATTTAATATGTCGATAACACGTGAGTTATTTCACGACGGGGTTTTTTTTTTCATAAACGCTCCATCTGGATTACTGCTCAGTGATTGGAGCACTGAGCTCCAATACCGAGCGAGCAGCTTCGCTCGATTCCCGGCCACGGCTAACATCAGTGGCGAGTGTTATCTGACCCGCTCCTGCCCTCGATCATTGTCAACCATAACAGGTGGTAAACCCGGAGTATTTGCTAAGCAAGCGTGACTGGTCATGAGATCCAAAAACGTCGAAACTGGCCCAAAGTTAACACACTCAAATATGCTGCCGGTTAATATGAGCCTAGACTGCAAACGTGTCGATGGGGTGTTCTCGTTGTTTTCACTTGGACACACAGTAGACGGCTTTAGATATACATTTCTTATGAATGTAACAATAGGAACATTTATGGGCAAAGGGTGGAAGGAAGGGGAGGGGAGGAGGGGAGAGGAGTGAACATTCTATTTTGTCTGCGTTGCCAACCATCAGATGAGTGTGGACTTCTGTTACGCATCTAGCATTCAGACCACGTGTGTGGCTGAGCGCCTCGATAAACAGCACAGGCGTTGGGTCAAATCCCACCGATTCCGTCGCTCTCCACTCCCATCAGCTCTTCCTGTCCAAAAGTTCCCAATCACATCCCTTCATAACCTCAGCAGCCAATGCCATGGCTTTCAGTTTTCTGCCGACATAAGCGCAGGCTATTTAGAGGGAAAGTGAAGTTAGGGGAGCGGTGGCCAAAGTGGTTAGCGCATTGTGCCATGAATTTTGGCAACCTGAGTTCGATTCCTTTTCAGCCATGGCTAACAGCATGCAGGTTCCTGTACTGCACTGGGATATTTGTTGAATTCCATTTATGATTGGTTCCATTTATTAGTGATGGAAAACTCATTTTTAGATTGAAAACCCATTTAATTAAATTGAAAACTCATTTACTTAGATCTGATGTTTGCGTTTAGTTTGTTGTCATTCCCCCACACCTCCGATTAGCATGGTTGGCTACGTATGGTGCGAAAGAAGCTCAACATACATTTACGTGGGAGGAAACCAGAGTACGGATCTGGATAATACAAATAAGTTAACAAATGAGCATGCACCCATACAACCTCTTCAAAGACGTCTGGCCAGTGTGGTACAGTAGGCCGACTACTTTCTCTCTCGAGAGAGAGAGAGGGGGACTTTCTCGTGCTCCCCCTTGAGGATGATTGTCCGGCAGCAGTGGTGTGAGCAAGTAATTTACAGGGCCGCACTTTTAACTTTTACCCAGAAAAAAATAATCAAGGACAGGTCAATCGCCTCTTTCACTCCACCCTCAACAGGTTCAGGATTGGTCACGCCCCATGCCTCACCAACCTCCACCAATGAGCCACAAGAGCAAGCCCCCTATGTCCCTGCGTGGTGGAGCAAATCATGCCAACCGCATCCTAGAAGTCTGCCCAAATTCACAAACTCAGCAGACGACGACTCACCCTCGACACGGTAGGACCGGAAGCAACCGCTTGGCTTAGGGGGCCCCACTTTGCATTCGCTAAATAAAACTCCACTGCCACCTACGGGGTGACCTTGTGACCCGGTGTAAACAGGCCCGGTGGGGCTTTCGCACCTTTAAAGAAATACGCCTCGTCCTTGCTAAGGCCGGACACGTGCACGTACGCGTCAACGCTATCTGGGATGGACTTCCAGCCGCGAGCAATGGGCGCTGGGTCTCCCGAACGCGTCTTGTTCTTGGCGTTCTCGTACATCCAGTACCACTGGCGTCTGAAGAAATAGGTGTTGAAACGACGACGAATTAATTGCCCGTCCCTGTTTCTCTCTTCGCGTATCCAGTCAAACACGGCGTTGAATGAACCTTCGCAAACACCTAGAGCAGACGAACAGAACAAAAAGAAAGAAAGAGAGCAAGAAAGGACAAATCACGCACACGCATGTGACTTTGTAACGCGTTTACAACGTGACCCCGCCGCCCGTCATAACGTGCATAACCACGTGATGTGACGTCACGCGGCGCAGGACGTGTGACGTCACATTGGTCTCCAAGCCACAGATCTTTTAGCGCTGTTTTTTTTTAATGCCACGTTTTGAGCAGTACTTTGATACATTTGGCCGGTTTTCTAATAGCGACGCAACTGTCACGTGTTTTTTTAAATATATATTGTGTTATCTTTACAAGAGTTAACGTGACCCCGTGCTTCGAGACGTCTCGACAAACGGACGGACGGACGGAGCAAATGCATTTACTGCTTCCATTCTTCGTTGGAACACTTTAAAAAGAGCGGAACCATTTCACGAGTGTTGAAACATGTCCAGATAGTGCAGTTAATGTACCACAACCGCCCGTGACCAAAATCACGCGGAATGCATCGCATCTCGTGAGAACTGGCAAGCTAAGCAGCGTTCAGCCTGGATTGTGCTTGAGTTGGTCGACGACCAATGACAACACTGGTATCGCTCGGCAAAGCGGTTCTACTGTGGTCTTGCATGCACCGTGTGCAAGAGACGTGGCACTTATCAGCTCAGCCTGTTGCGGAGCTACGTTGTTAGTCGAAGGCAGTGCAGCGACATCCATCGTTGTACTGTACCATCCTCCACCGTCTATGCCTCCCGTCTTCACAAACCCGCACTGAGCAGTGGGGCGAAGTATGGTCAAACAATCGCCATTACCGATACGGCCCTCATCCAGCAGTGGACTGGCAGTAACAGACTGAGTGTACACGATGCTGCAAATGATGAATTGTGATAACAGCATTTCACTACGACGTTGTTGTACCAGAATGCACCATTCACTGACGTTCGCTATCCACAATCACACTCAATTAAAGTGTTCGGACGATCGTGAACGTCGGTGGCCTACTTTGTCCGATTACTGCCCTTTCATGTTCCCATTCCACTGGACTGATGCAATCTCTCTCGCAATGCGGCAATTCTTGACGATGTTAACAGATAACGACCTGTGCACGCGCGCGCGCGAGCGCACACCCTCTGCTGTGATCTTCGTCAGTGTGACGACGCTAATGGGTTAATATAATAATTGTTGCGTGATGTTGGCAAAAAGGGGCCATCAGTGAAGGGATGCACACGCATCGACCGACGCGTACAATGCTCACCATAGAGACGCTGGATGGCTTTCCTGTCGTTCCAATCCAGTTCGAATCCGGAATCCTTCGGGATATAATTTGGCTGCATGACAGATCCGCTCCGGTAAATGTGCGGTAAGCCGAGCACGTGTCCAATTTCATGAACGGCGACCTTTGTGAGACACGCGCGCACGCAAATTGTTATTAATCTCCCCCCCCCCCCCCCCCCACTGCTCCAACCCATCCCACCTGTCCCGACCCCCCAAAATAGCTCACGAGTTAAAATTAGCATTAGATTATTCCTGCTTGGGGTTTGCGGGGGTTGTGCTCTGTGGCTATCTTCCTGTGCGCCTTGTTACCGTGCATTGCGAGCTTGCTCGGGAACTTGAACAGTCACTTGCAATTAATAATTTCCAATTCTCTTAGGATATTGTTTTTTTTTTCATCAACTTGCTCCATTGCCCTTCACACAATTGACAAAGGACCCGTTCCCCTTATCACCACCCACTCGTGCACTCGCCATCGCCCTCTCTATCTTATATTCACACTCACGACAAAACTTGCTATTCCGTAAAAATTATCCTGTGTCTGCGTCTTTCTCCAGTTGTCTTGGAGTGTGCTGTATGCTATGTGTATGCTCAATAAAATATTGCTTTTGGAATAAAGTAATATCCAATTCAGTTACATAAACAGCTCCCCCCCCCCCCCCCACATAATACAACGCCAAGTGCTGAGCAGGATCTTCAGAAACTGAAAAGTGCATTCCAATTCAGGATATTAAATTCAGTTCCTTGGAATAGAGTTCCCTGCACTTGGTGACGATACGCGAAATGTCGGACAACGCGCGGTACCACCTGAACGACGCATCGCAGAGTAACGTTACATTATTTCGCTGAGCGCTTTCAGACAAAAAGATCCCCCGTATAGCCTGAACAGACTGTTGGGGAAAGTGCTGTTAGCGAGCACCTATTAAGGCCGGGACGGTACACGAGGGGGTGGGTGCCCAGTAGCACGCCCGGCCGCCTTTGCCTCCCCAGTATCGATGTTTACACACCTCACTAGGCACTCTTTTGAGGCTGAGTCGACCTAGGGGAGGCCCAGAACCGGTTCAGAAAATCGCCACTGGTGTTGGCCGTGAGCAGGAATCGAACTCGGGTCTCCGGCTTCCTAACGCAGCGTAGCGCTAACCGCTACACTACCGCGCCCCACGGTTTAAGACAAAAATGATCAACACACAATAAAAAATACCCCATTGCGCTTTTCTGATCGGCGTTCACCTTCAGCAGGCTGATGCCTTCTTCGCTCCGTGGCTTGGTGAAATGCTCGTCGTCGTCAAAGTGGACGTCTCCGAGGTGCCACGCGTGGGCGAACTCCTGCCCGCTGCCGTCAAACACCTGGGAGCAGCCCAGGTGACGCCCTGGAGTGTGGGTGCCCGAGGCACGTGCACACGGAATCATGATCACGGTTTACGCAATTTGGCGCCTCGGACAAAATCCGCCCGACGTGGTCTCAGAAGAAGCTGAGCGGGGTTTGTCGAGCCGGGGATAGTGACTGCTTGGATTGGGCGACTGTACTTTATGATAGGGTGCGGGGATGGAGTGAGGCGGAGAGGAAGCAATCGGTTGTACCCAAACTTCCATGCTGCCCGCCTTCATCAACCCGCACTGATTGGCGTGGTGAAGTTACGGTCCAATGACTCCGCACATGGGACCCGCACGGCATGTGGAGGCCCAGCGGTGGGTGTGTAAAGCGCGTTTAATGCCAACGTGGCCTTCAAAATGAATAAAAATATATAATAAGTGACGTTTCGGGCAACGATCCCCTTTTTCAGAACATACATTTGTGCGATTATGGAGGTCTGATTGACAAACGCGAGCTTTTCTGTTATTTTTCCTTGTGCTCCACTGCCAACCCAATATCACCAAATCATCTGTGCAAGTGGGGGGCTGTTTGACCATACTTCACCACATTCGTTAGCGTGGATGTGTGAAGGAAGCGGTGGGGCTGGGCAGGGAGGGTTCCTAGGAAGCGTTTAAAGTTCACTCGCCACTTGAGTTAGCCGTGCTCGTGTTCACGGCGCAGGGTGCGCTAACCACTGCGCCACCGCTCCAGTCACGAAGGTAAGACACAACAGCAGTCTCTCTTCACATTAAACTGCCGCGCGCTCAATCGGATTCGTGGCCTTGCTGTGTACCTCCGCGGGCAAACCGTGTAACCGGTTGTTTTGACCTCAAGGAACTCATCAGCAGTCGAGCTGGTTGAGCAAACATTGCTGGGGTTGCCAGATGTTATTGTCAAGAGCACTCCCCTGCATGACGGGGCCATGTTGAGAGCAACACGCAATGTAGTGTAAATAAATAAATAAATGCTACCTCACGAGTCTACTTTGAAGCATTTATGGTGATTAAATAACCACATAATGAAAGCTTCATTCCGTTTCTCCACGTCAAAGTTAAATATCTGAAGTCGCTTTATACCAGCGAATAGTAACCTCAAATGGAGCCTTAAGAACGTGAATGGGCACCCCACACGTGGCTCCGTGTGTTGTTGACCTACGACTGTACCGTAATAAGACGCATCTCAAACTTGACTTGTTACACACACACACATGCGCGCACCTTCCGGATTATAAGACGCACCCTCTCGACTTTTTCTCGAGAGCACAGGGTGAAAAGTGCGTCTTATAAATCCGCTGGATGCGGTCAATAGCTCTGCCACCCTTGAGGAATGATAATTGTGGAACGGACATTTGCCCAATTCTCTCCCAGCAACACGTGGGACGTTGGGCCAGCGGTTATAACCACAATGCCAACGTTGGTCTAACGTTGGCATGTTCACTGGGCTGACGTTAAGGAAAACGTTTATTTAATTAAAGATGCCACCCAAATAACGTAATGCTCATCATCATTACCCACATCTTATTTATATTTTATATGCTTTTTTTATACGGTAGCGAAGCCCCAAACGCTTGTTATACAGCCGTGTGCATGCAGCCAATAGATCGCAGAATGCATTGAGCCACATCGTTACATCTAAGGCCATGTAAGCTATGCTACAATGTAATCAATATCAGGCATGGTCAATCCACTTCTGGATGAGGTCCTGTCATATATATTAAAAAAATATGAGAATGTGCTGGCAGAAATGCGCACGCACGCAAACACTCAACGCCTCATCATCGACGCCGCCCTATAAATAATATGGTAGCTCGGCTCGCTTCTAAGCAATGAAATTGCTTCATATCATGTAATAAGAACGGTGGGGTTTTTTTTATATATATATTTGAGCTTCTTTTGTTACAACTTTTGCGATTCTATTACAATGGGTTATGAATATGTGCGAAACCATTATACAGCACGTTAAAAGGGTGCATTAAACGGCAAAAAAATTAAACGACAGCATGCTTGGCATGTCAAGACGACATCGTCATCCTTGTGCAGATTCTGCAGATGCCACCTCATGATCTATTTTTTTTATCATTGTAGCCATCATCTCAAAAGCACCAAGGTTGTATTTATGCAGTAGGATAACGAAGCAACTGGATTTATCAATTTCACCCTTCGTCGGACTCATCAGTAAAAAATATCGCCATCCTTGACCACTACTGCCGAAATGCGCTGGAAGGGACTTGCGTAACTACGGCTCAATGTGGGGGGGACAGGAGCGACTCACTCAGTTATCGACTCAGTCGCTCAGCCGCGTATCCGCCGCTCACCTCTGCCAAAGCCTAACTTGACGTCGAGCTCGGCCGTGGGGGTGGTGAGGTCCTCGATGAATTCCAGCGGGGTTACCTCGCTCCACATGCGGAAGGCCAGGCGCAAGATGGCCCTCTGATCATCCACGCTCAGCTGCTGGCTGTACCCCTCCCCGATGAGCCTCCACTTGAGCTGCCGCTTGGAGAACACCTGCACCGCTCGCCCCGTGCCCCCCTCGTCCCTGGCCCTCTTGGAGCGGGCCCTGTCCACTAACCTCTGCAAGGACCTCCTCTTCCTGCCCTCGACCTCCTCTCCGGCGCTCGGAGAGGATGCCGAGGGCTTCTCCGCCGCCACCGAGTCGTTCCGTGCCGTCCCGTTGGCGGCGTCGTTGGCGGCGGCGGCGGCGGCGGAGTCGAGATCCTCTTGCTGGTCAGGAACGCCGCAGCGTGGCCTGTTCATGGCCTCCTTGGTGGCCTCGTCCAGGACGCCCGTGACGGGGAGGCCGTTTGCCTCCTGGAAGTGCCCGAGGGCGAGGACGAAAGCGGGGCTCTGCGTGGGTTCGCCGCGGGGTGCCGCGTCGCCGCCCTCGGAGCGGAGTGGGGAGTCCGCCTCTTCTATCAGCTCCACGGTGTCTCTCGGCGCCGGGTCGTCGTTCATGGGCGCTGGCACGTCGTGGTAAGGGACTTCTTCCCAGTTCACCTCCTCTATCCATCCGTACTTGGACAAGTAGTGCTGCCAAACGACACCGGCATTAAACACGATCATTCTTTACCACCTGCACACCCTTCCGTCCCCTTGTTGCTGCAGGGATTTGTGTAGTGTCATCCTTCCCACCCCATTCTCTACAAATCCCCAACAGCCCCCCCCCCACCAACCGCCCCCCCCTCCCAAAGAAACCATTCCCAGTTAGAGATATACCTCTGCAGAATCCGCTGATTTCACCGGCTCGGCGATGTGGTTAGTGCTGATGTCTGAGTGATCCCTGCGATGGTAGATCATCTCGGCTCCCGTCAGGGTGGCCACAAGGAGAGGAAACACCAGGTAAGTAACAGCCGCTGTCCGCCGATCCATCTTCCACTCGACTGCCCCACCAATGTTCCCGCGATGATGGGTTAGTCCTGAGGATTGGTGTACGCGATATCTTATAGCGTTGACAGCAACTTGGTTATCATTTTCGAGCACACTTGCAAAAATATTATGAGGGAAATCACTTATACTCAAGTATGTTCAGAGGCTATTGATAATTCAAACTGCCTGAACGTTCAAGGAAGCTACTGCTAATACAATGCAGATTGCTTGGCAATTCAGGCAGTAGCCAATTCCAACTGTCTGAAAATGCATTTTGCATACATTTTTCAGTCGTCCCTGACGCACAAGATACTTTATATGTGTGTATAGAGTGCATTTGCAAGCTATACATAATTTAAACAAAAACATAAGTTTCTTGGTATGGTCTCAATAAGAGTTTATATTTTTTTTTAAAAGGCTCACTTTTAAGTGTTGCGTATGCACTTTTCTAGGTCAGATTTAGTTCTGCTGAATATTAACGACGACAAAGCAACAGAAACACTGCTCGGGTTGCTCTTGACGTCGGCAAGTTCACAGTTTCCGCAACTCCGGTGTCAATTTGAGATCTTTCGTGGAACACTTCACCTCTACACGCTACGGAAAGTCGTTACTTGCAGTTTTGAGAGGCTTCTGTTCTTCCTCCGCTGTCCCGTTCTTCTCTTTTGCAGTGACTTGGCAGAACTGTTAACAATGTACAAGTGCGGTGGTTACGCAGTGGAATTTTCTCTCTGTTTTTTTGTGCGATTACCTGGGAACATTTACGTCGGTGTTCGTGCTGCATTGTTTCAAATTTCTTTTTTGTTAAATGAAGATAATAGTTGCTTGCAAATTAAGCCAACTTAAGCAAACAGTCGTTGCTTATAATTCCACTTCTGAAAACAAATTGGCCAACTGACACTTTAAAAACAAATTTTTGTTATTAATCCGTACGTAATAAATAATAACCGCCTCCAAGTATAATTCTGTAATATACTTACCCCGCAAAATTGTTTGCCTGCGGCGTCTCTTTAGTTGTCCGATCAGGTTACAGTGCATAAGCACTGCCCCCGTTACTCCGTGTTTTCTGTGGAGGATGCGTCCCTTGGCATCATTTATTAGTTAAGTGGGCGGTCCGCACCTTCACTCCGCGATGGGGCCTCTAGCCATCTGACCAATCGGCGACTGCTCCGCATTGGGGCCATGTGCCCCAGCATCATCTTCTCGGTGAACCCACGTTTACCCCCCCAAAAAAAAAGTTCCAGGTCGGTTCTGTTTGTGCCTGCGTTTCTGTGCGGATGCTTGTGGGTATGTAATGTTCTTTCCACCAATAAGTGTCAGTGCTGTGTGTTTTGTGAATGTGTGTGTGTATAGCGGTGGTGCAGCAGTTAGTACACTGCGCTACGAACCCGGGGACTCGAGTTCGATCCCCGCTTACGGCCAACACCAGTGACAAATGTTTGAACCTGTCTCGGGCCTCCCCTAAGTCAACTCAGCCTCAAATGACTACCTGGTGGGATGTGTACACATCGCTACTGGGGAGACAAAGGCAGCCGGGCGTGGTGCTGGCCACCCACCACCTCATGTGCCGTACTGGCCTTGATAGGTGCCTGCGAACAGCACTTGCCCTAACAGTCTGTTAAGGCTATATTGGGGGGGATCTTTGTCTTTGTTATAGTGATGGCAAAGCGATTTAGTGCCACCGAGTTAGAAACCCGGTGGGTTGGGTTTGATTCTTGGCCACAGCCAATCATCAATAGCAAAGATCTAAATTGCTCCCTAGCCTCCCCAAGGTCGACTCAGCCTTAAATGAGTACCTGGTGCCCGATATGAACATCAGCACGGGGGAGAAGAATCCAGCTCCACCGCCCCAGCAACTTATGTGAGCTCGAATGAAAAATCTGTGGATGGGCGCGGGTTTACAGTCCATTTGGCGTCAATGCTGAGTGGTACTTCAAAACCCAACTTTATTTTATGTTAACAGGTAAGGCCCACAGAGCTATGTAGCTTTTTTTCATGAGCGACCTGGCCACAAATGTTTGCTCAACGAAGTGGCTTATCACGTGCACATTTATATCAGCCAAATACTCTGAACGCACGTTTCTAAATGTGGAGGGAAAAAAACTGGAGAACCTGCGAGAAAAATCCACGTGACCACGGGGAGAACATGCAAACTCCAAATACACAGGCGTCAGGGTCTAGATCGAACCCACAAGCTCCTGTATACAAGAGTTAACATCTCGCCACCATGGCACCCCCTTGAATCCCCGTACCCCCATGGCGAACCCGCACTGACCAGCACGGTGAAGTAAAGTCGAACAACGCCCATGATGCACATTGCACAAGGAGGCCTTCCTCCAACAGTTGATTGACGAAGGGCAGAAAAATATAGATAACGCCACGTAATGCCATTAATTACCCAAGAAAGCCGCTGTGAGTCTCAGCTCTTTCAATAGAGTCCTGTTTTGGAATGTTTGGCCAATTCCAGTAAGGAGAGTGTGTGTGTATGTGTGTGGGAGGAAACCTACATACCCTGAGAAAACTTGCGCACTCAAAAGCCTGAATATATTGGCCCACAATCCGTACGACCATCTCCTGACCACCTCGCAGTGCACTGCTTTTTAGGATATAAAAAAAAAATTGGGTGATCTACCAACGCTTGCCTCCAAAGTGCTGGTGGATTACAGGTGTGGGCCTCCATTCCCACCTGCTATATGGTGGTATGCACGATCTGTTAAGCTATAGTTTGCGCGCCAAATATTTTTCTATGGGCTCTTGTGTGTTTATAAATAAACTGGACATATAAATGTAATTTATTGATATTATCACCTCCACTTTATGAAAGTTATTATTATCTCCTAAAAGAGCATTGAGACCTGACCTTTATCTCCTAGGTAAGTAAAGTAAAGAGCACCATTATTATCATCACCACCACTTTTATAAAGTGGTGATGAAGTGGTGGTGATAATAATAATAATTACTTACCTAGGAGATAGAGGTCAGGTCTCAAGACTCTTTCAGGAAAGGATACGTTCCCAATCCCACTTGTTTCTCACGTGGAAGGAAACTTGAGTACGTAGAGAAACCCCACGAAAAAAGAGGGGGTAAGCACACGAACCTCCGCATAGACGGATTCAATAATATTTTGCCGTACATCAATCTTCCTGGCCACCTTTGCAGACCGAGCCAACAAAACATGGTATCCCTAATAGAGGTTTTTTTGGGTTAGATCGCATAAATAAATAAATGTGTCGTTAAACCCGCCACCACCCGACACAGCCAATTAGTAAGGTTTGTCACGTAAACAGAACGTGGCAATTCGTTGCTAGTACAGCACACCGGTGTGTTGTGTGTGTATTTCGTTACTAGTACAGCTGTCAGGTGTTGGCAGGTTTAACGACACATTTATATATTCACACCATCGAACTCCAAAAAAACCTGCATTATGGATGATATTGGTCGCGAAAGCCTACGTGTTAAAACATGTTATATTCACGCAGTCTCCCATACTAGTACGAACCAGGCTGAAACCAAGGTCTGATAGATCAGAGCAATATTGGTCGTGGGAAAACGAAGATTGTGTTTCCCATTACTCGAAAGTGGAATCCGCCGTTGTGCAATGGGTTGACGCGCCGGGGTTGCAATCCAGAGGTCGCCGGTTCGTTATTCCAGCGGGGCAGTTGAAAGAACGGGAAAGTTTATTCCTTCCCCCTTGCACCTCCGATTAGCACGGTTGGCTACGTGCGGTGCGAAATAAATTCGACATACATACATACATGCGTACACATTTCCCCACCTCTGTCTGCACAGCAGTGTATGTGGGTACACGGCAGTCAATTGTCAGGTCATGCACGGTGGGGGTAAAGTGTAAGTACTTTCACCCCTTGCAAGACGTCTGCCCAATGTGGATGTCAGGCCAACATACCCTTCTAGAGGGGCTGTCTAAACCACGACCACCCCCGCCACCTCTCGCGGAGGCCCACAAATGCCAGCCGTGTCACGAGTAAGTTATTTTCCAAAAGTGTTTTTTTTTATTGAACAAACCGTTCGGGTACACAGAGAGGGCACGTATAAACACAATGCAAAGTACAATGATTCGAGAAAGTTATTCGAAGGATGTACCATTTCCAGTACATATAACGATGCAATGTGACTGCCGATGATGATGACGATGTTACGTACTTCGTAACGCGCGCTTTGAACGTGATGATGCAAATCTTTCGTTGCCGTATCGATTGACGGGGGGCTCTCCGGCAAAATAGGGAGGCAAAAAAGTAATCGGTCGTCAATCTCGACACGATTCGGGATTCGTCCCTTTGTTCACGCCACAGCAGCATAGTTCATAGTTCCATAGTTCCATTTATTTGGTATAGCCCTGTGAGCCATTCGGCTCTTGAATCGGGTGCAACCACAACAAAAAACAAAAACACGAACAAGAAAACATCTTAAAGTGATTATGTGACTACGCAAACAGAAAATCCAGGAAAAAAAACATCAAAATATTCCTTAAATAGCACCGTACACCAACGCTGTGTGCAAAAATCCCAGTGGGATGCAAGTCAAACAACAACAACAACCACAAGACAACTAAGATTAAGCAGCGGGTCGCCGGTGGAGACGTTTGGCCTCCAGTGGGGGGGGAGGTGGTGGGGGCTTATCTGCTCGTACTGTACAGGGGCTGTGTTTTTGTGGAAAAATACAACTCGTGGGAGATAAGGGTTGAGCGCTGACCCATGACCGGTTGTGGATGTCCAGATGTGGGAGACCGCGTTACGTCAGCGCTATCATAACAGGCAGCCGTTTATAAAAAAAAAAATCTATAAAAAGCGGCTCCATTAAAAGCGAGCGTAATTTATGTTCCGAGAGCGATTCAATTTGGAGGTTGGCTGACACGCGTGATTTTTCATCTCGTTTAGATTTGATTCTTGAAATGCGATCTGTAAATTGTTGTCGGTTCCTTGATTCATGGAATTGAGTTTTACTCTGCGGTGCTTCATGTGGGATTTTTTTCTGGCCTCCCTAAGCAGCTGCACATTGGAAAACTGGAATATTGAAAATGCCTTGGCTTTATTTGGCCAGGTGGCTTTGTGGTAGAGTGGGCTGATCGCAATCGGAAGGTTGAAACTTCAAACCGTGGTCCGGTATTTCACTCAATCCACCATTACATAGCTCTGGGGATCATAAAACGAATACAACTTGGTGGGGAAGCCCACAGTGGTTATTCCATGGATATACTCGATCCGACCATAGGAATGCAGAATGTCCACCACTGGCTCGAGGGTTGTGATTAGAAAATGAGCACCACCTCAAAGCTTATTTGAGCAGAAAATCACTTTCACTTTTCTTTGTAATATAACCTTTATGGAATATTCAAATATCTTGAATTTTAATCTTAAATTATCAACCTGTATATAATAACACATTGCAAATAACTCGAAGGTCATAATATGAAATTTTGAAATTGTGAAAGCTTTCTGTGATGTTGCATTTGGCATATTAATAAAGGGAACAAAAATTCTACCCATATTGGCATGTTAATAAAGAAAACATTTTTTTCCTTTTTTACCCAGGACTCCATGCCAAAGGTGCTCCTCAGTGTTTCAGAAAGATGCCACCGACAATCACAGTGGACGCAATTCTCCCATCCTCGGGCAAAAAAAAAAAAAGCCACCGTCCCACAACGCTCAGAGAGCGTCCGGATGACAGGCGCACGCCACCACGCTTGGCGTTCGCCCACCAGGCCGAGCGCAATTTTCCTTGATCTGAGAAGCGGCCGAGATCCGCGAGCTCTTTTGCGACGCGAAGCCTGAAAGGTGCCGCCATCTCCACAGAATGTCATTTTGTCACCGCTGCCTTCTCTTGCCCTTCATCTGTCAGCGGTAACTCGCTGGCAGCGAGCCACAAATGTCATCACCCGATCATACACCTGAAACCTGTTAGCTTGTAACAGAAGGCTTTCCCACGGATTTTTGTCCACCAGTTTGCCGGCCGTGGAGTCCCAATTATTATTTATTGGACGTTCCTGCGATTGTTGCACGGCAGGTTGATGGAGCGGTTTAAATAACCAACACAAATGGTGAAGTCACTGTCAAATTATAGCGAATTAACGCAACTCTCTGCCATTTTCTTCAGTGGTTTTGCTCACCAGCCTTGCAATCCAGACGTTGCCGATTCGAGCTCCTGGCGCGGCAGTCAAAGTCGTGGACGTTTCTTAACCCCCCCCCGCCCCACCGTTTCTGTCCA